GAGACTCCAGGCCACCCCGTCCCTCCCCCAGCGGAGACTCCAGGCCACCCCGTCCCTCCCCCAGCGGAGACTCCAGGCCACCCCGTCCCTCCCCCAGCGGAGACTCCAGGCCACCCCGTCCCTCCCCCAGCGGAGACTCCAGGCCACCCCGTCCCTCCCCCAGCGGAGACTCCAGGCCACCCCATCCCTCCTCCAGTGGACACTCCAGGGAACCCCATCCCTCCTCCAGTGGAGACTCCAGGCCACCCTGTCCCTCCCCCGGCCGAGACCCCAGGCCACCTGCAGCTCCTGGTGGTCTTTCCGGGGAGCACCCACCCGCTCTGTGCTGCCTCAGACCTCAAAGACTTCCACAACCCCCTCCGCCTCACAATTCAGCTCTCTGCCTGTCCCCTTCTGTCCACCGTGCCAATCACCTTCTAGCGTCTGGGGCTTAAAACCTGGACGGCAGGTTGGTGGCTGCAGCAAACCACCATGCCACATGCATACCTGTCACACACCTGCACGTTCTACATGTATGTCCCAGAACTTACACTAAAATACAAACAAAAACACATCCTATACAGCTGGTGTCTAACCGAGTTTCGCTCTTGTAGCCCAGGCTGGAGTGCAGTGGTGTGATCTCCGCTCACCGCAACCTCTGCCTCCTGGGTTCAAGCGATTCTCCTGCCTCAGTCTCCCAATTAGTTGGGATTACAGGCACCTGACACCATGCCTGGCTAATTTTTGTATTTTTAGTAGAGACGGGGTTTCACCATGTTGGCCAGGCTGGTCTCGAACTCCTGACCTCAAGCGATCCACCCGCCTCGGCCTCCCACAGTGCTGGGATTACACATGTGAGCCGCTGAGCCCAGCTGAGATCTGATGGTTTTATAAAGGGCAGTTTCTCTGCACACACTCTGTTGCCTACCGCCATATAAGACATGCCTGTCCTCCTCCTTGACTTCCACCATGATGGTGAGGCCTCCCCAGCCACGTGGAACTGTGAGTCCATTAAATCTTTTTCTCTTTCTCTCTTTTTTTTTTTTTTTTGGGTGGGGTTTCGGTCTTGTTTCCCAGCCTGGAGTGCAGTGGCGCGATCTTGGCTCACGGCAACCTCCGCCTCCCGGGTTCAAGCGATTCTCCTGCCTCAGCCTCCTGAGTAGCTGGGATTACAGGCGTGTGCCACCATGCCGGGCTAATTTTGATATTTTCAGTAGAGACAGGGTTTCACCATGTTAGCCAGAATGGTCTCGATCTGTTGACCTTATGATCCACCTGCCTTGGCCTCCCAAAGTGCTGGGATTACAGGTATCAGACACTGCCCCCCCCTTTTTTTTAATTTTTCGTAGAGAAAGGGTTTCACCATATTGGTCAGACTGGTCTGGAACTCCTGACATGGTGATCCGCCCACCTCGGCCTCCCAAAGTGCTGGGATTACATGTGAGAGCCGCTGCACCCAGCTAAACTTTCTTTTCTGTGTAAATGATGCAGTCTTGGATATGTGTTTATCAACAGCAGGAAAACGGGCTCATAGATAACGCTTGCGAGCCACGCGTGTGTCTTCTTCCGAAGCGTGTCTGTTCGTGACCTTTGGAAAAGGCTCCCCTCCGTCATGAGCGTGTTCTCAGCCCTGCTCAATTCCTAAGGCAATCGCCTTAACTCAGATCCCTGCGAAATCCCACAGCAGCAGAAGGGGCTTTGACCTCCTGAGTCACTGTGGGTTCCATTAAGCAAATGTGATCCGAGGCCCTTGGATCGGATGTGTCTCCTGGAAAAGTGTCCCTGAGGATGCTTCATTGCCCTAAACTTCAAGGATATGCTAATTTATGATATATTTTTATTTATTCAGTTATTTGGGACACAGAGTCTCGCTCTGTCGCCCAGGCTGGAGTTCAGTGGTGCGATCTCGGCTCACTGTAGCCTCCGCCTCCCGGGTTCAAGTGATTCTCCTGCCTCAGCCTCTGGAGTAGCTGGGATTATAGGCGCCCACCACCACACCCACCTAATTTTTGTGTTTATAGTAGAGATGGGGTTTCACCATGTTGGCCAGGTTGGTCTTGATCTCCTGACCTCAAGTGATCCTCCTGCCTCAGCCTCCCGAAGTGCTGGGATTGCAGATGTGAGCCACTGTGCCCAGCGAATTTTTTGCAGTGGTGTGATCTCGGCTCACTGTAACCTCCACCTCCAGGTTCAAAAGACTCTCCTGCCTCAGCCTCCCGAGAACCTCGGATTACAGGCGCCCAACACCATGTCCGGCTCGTTTTTGTATTTTTAGTACAGACGGGGTTTCACCATATTGGCCCGGCTGGTCTCGAACTCCTGACTGCAACTGATCCACCCGCCTCGGCCTCCTGAAGTGCTGGGATTACAGACACGTGCCACCATGTCTGGCTAATTTTTGTACTTCTAGTAGAGACATTGTAACGCCATGTTGGCCGGGCTGGTCTCGAACTCCTGACCTCAGGTGATCCGCCCACCTCAGCCTCTTACATTGCTGGGATTACAGGCGTGAGCCACCGTGCCTGGCCAACCTTGTATTTACATCCTTCCCCTGGAAAATCACTGTGGGTGTATGACATTCCACTTTCTATCCAACCACAAAACAAGCAGCCATTCTTGACAAGATGGACTTGAGGTCATACTATGAACCTTTTCTTCACCCCCCACGCATGCCACGTGTCCTCAGAAACGGGGCAGAGACCTGCCATGGTCACATTGTAATTATATGCAGGCATTTCAATTGTCCAAATAAAAGTTGTAAGACCTCTAGGCTGAAGTGGGAGGATTTTTTTTTTTTTTTTTTTTTGAGACAGAGTCTCGCTCTGTCAACCAGGCTGGAGTGCAATGATGCAATCTCTGCTCACTGCGACCTCCGCCTCTGGGGCTCTAGCGATTCTCCTACCTCAGTCTCCCGAGCAGCTGGTATCCTACCTGTGCGCAATCACACCCTGCTAATTTTTTTGTATTTTTTAGTAGAGACGGGGTTTTGCCATGTTGACCAGGCTGGTCTTGAACGCCTGGCCTGAGGTGATCCACTTGCCTCGGTCTCCCAAAGTGCTGGGATTACAAGGCACTGTACCCATCCAGTGGGAGGATCTCCTGAGGTCAGAAGTTTGAGACCAGCCTTGGCAACATAGTGAGACCCCCATCTGTGCAAAGAATTGAAAAATTAGCCAGGCGCGGTGGCTCACACCTGTAATCCCAGCACTTGAGGAGGACGACACGGATGGATTACTTGGGGTCAGGAGTTTGAGACCAGTCTGAGAAACATGGTGAAACCCCATCTCTACTAAAAACCTAAAAATTGGCCGGGTGCGGTGGCTCACGCCTGTAATCCCAGCACTTTGGGATGCCGAGGCGGGTGGATCACGAGGTCATGAGATCGAGACCATCCTGGTCAACATGGTGAAACCCCGTCTCTACTAAAAATACAAAAAAAATCAGCTGGGCATGGTGGCGCGTGCCTGTAATCCCAGCTACTCAGGAGGCTGAGGCAGGAGAATTGCCTGAACCCAGGCGGCGGAGGTTGCGGTGAGCCGAGATCGCGCCATTGCACTCCAGCCTGGGTAAAAAGAGCTAAACTCCATCTCCAAACTGAAAAAAAAAAAAAAAACCCCTAAAAATTAGCTGGGCGTGGTGATGCATGCGTGTCATCCCAGCTACTCGGGAGGCTGAGGCAGGAGAATTGCTTGAACCCAGGAAGCGGAGGTTGCAGTGAACCGAGATCCTGTCATTGCACTCCAGCCTCGGGTGACAGAGTGAGATTCTGTCTCAAAAAAAAAAAAAAAAAAAAATAAAGGGTCTCAGTATGTTTCCCAGGCTGGGCTGCTGACATCTCGATATTGGTCTTCTAGCCTCTGGAACTGTGGGAGAACTGGGTTTTGAGCCAGCCAGTTAGTGGAAGTTCGTAACAGCCCCAGAAATGAACACAGAGCCTGTTCCATCCCTAAGACGATTACTTAGGGCTCCTGACTGCTGAGCATATTGGTTTGGGATGAGTTCTACACCCGCTGACACAAGGGTTCGTGGAGACTATTCAGGGGTGCAGAGAGGCACGCAAGAAGCCAGGGAATTCCCACGTGCTTCCTGATCCCCTCATAAGCTTAATGGAAATTTCTGGAGCGACCTGTGTTTGTTTCATTAGTGGAAAGCTGGCAGGGAGCTTCAGGCAGCAGCCGTGAGCAGGTGGCTGGCAGGGTGTCACCAGTGTGGTAGCAGGCTCCGTGCGCCCTGAGGGAAACGTTGCAGGGACTCCGGACGCCACGGCTGGATTGCAGAGAACATGAGTTCCTCGGAGGATCACGGCTATCGCCTCCTCACTGACTACGCAAACGGCTTCATGGTGTCACAGGTAGGACATTGCTGCAAATAGATGCTGGACACAGAGGCTCAGTGCTGCAAAGAAACATCAGCACCGAGGCAAAGAATCTCTCAGCAATGCAATTTTTACTTGCCGGGCTGCAGGGAGGGGACCCTCACGGGCCATCGTGCCCCGAGAGCACAATGAACACAGGAAAACACACACATGTATCCCTGACGCGTGTGGGGTCGTCCTTCCTGCCGTGTCTGAGCTCCGTGGGCTGGAGCCAGACCTCACCATCTACACTAAAACCCGACGGGCTGACAACTTAAAACTTTTCTGAACAGGTGAAAGCCACGGAGAGCTGAGACATGCCTGTGAGCACGTCCAGCACAGGTATCTCGGTGAAAGTACAGGACATAGAACGTTCTACGTGCCCGTGAGCACGGCGTGTCTAACAGCTGCATAGGAGGGGGCTTCACAGAGAGTAATGAGCACACTTATTCTTTAACAAGAAAGGACACTTTGGAAAGGAACTTTTGTACTTCCCACAGATATGCTCTGTGCGACATGGAGCAGGGGATAGACTTCCATTCATCACACTCGCGTTCCACTATTGGGAGCATCAATCAAGAAAAATGACGAGTGTCAATCATTGTAGCAGGTTTATTGGCCCGTGTTAAAGGCGTGTGTCCGTGACGCAGCCTCACAGGGTCCTGACACCATGTGCCCAAGGCGGTCGGGGCATAGCTTGGTTTTATGCACTTTGGGGAGACCTGAGAGATTGTGGGAAGCAGAAAAGTTCCTTTTTAAAGTTTCCTTTCTTGTTGAAGAGCAAGTGTGGTAATAGCAACCTGCTACCTTTGCCTCATTTGAACACCTGCGGCCCTCTGGGGCTGCCGGCTGCTGGTTCAAAGCCAGCCAGTTGTTCACAGTGGTGTTCAGGGGGGTGGTTTGGTGGTTCCTTTTTTTGAAAAAATTTATTAATAATACTGTAAGTTCTGGGGTCCATGTGCAGATCATACAGGACTGTTACATTGGTATACACTGCCATTGTGGTTTGCTGCTTCCGTTCCCCCATCATCTGTGTTATGTGTTGCTCCTCATGCCTTCCCTCCCCAATCCCCCCACCCCTTGCTATCCCTCCCCTACCTCTTCTACCCCCCGCTATTCCTCCCCTATCAATGATAGACTGGATAAAGAAAATGTGGCACAGAGACACCATGAAATACTATGCAGCCATGAAAAAGGATGAGTTCATGTGTTTTGCAGGGACAGGGATGAAGCTGGAAACCATCATTCTCACCAAACTGACACAAGAACAGAAAAGCCAACACCACATGTTCTCACTCATAAGGGGGAGTTGAACAATGAGAACACAGGGACACAGGGAGGGGAACGTCACACACAGGTGGGATCCAAATCTTGGGAGAAAAGTCACTTCAGTGCACATGATGCCACATCCAGGGAATGACCACAAGGGCAACAGAACAAGAGTTAATGCACCCTTAACACAGCAAAACTTAAGACCACCTTAAGAAAATCAATCTTTGTGCACTCGTAACACAAACAATTAGTGAATGCAGGTTTCCTAGACCAGCAGTGAACACACCCATAAGAAGATAACATTTATTATCCCCGAAAACAACAATCAATTGGCCGGGTGCGGTGGCTCACGCCTGTAATCCCAGCACTTTGGGAGGCTGAGGCGGGTGGATCACAAGGTCAGGAGTTCGAGACCAGCCTGAGCAACATGGTGAAACCCCGTCTCTACTAAAAATACAAAAATTTAGCTGGGTGTGGTGGCAGGCACCTGGAATCCCAGCTATTCGGGAGGCTGAGGCAGGAAAATTGCTTGAACCCGGGAGGCAGAGGTTGCGGTGAGCCCAGATCACGCCACTGTACTCCAGCCTGGGTGACGGAGTCAGACTCCATCTCAAAAATAAATAAGGGCAAAGTAATAAGCTCGGGGTGGGGGGTACTTTTCCTCCGTTCCTAGTCACCTGTCATAAGCAGTGTCACAATGCCTCTCATAAGGGGCGTCTGATGAAGCCGGGTTCCATCAGCCGACCCACGGCGCTTCCATCCACGTCCTGGCAGGTGGAGGCTCTTCCCAAATGGGTCGCCGGTTGCCGTGGCAACAAGAGGGCTCCCTGGTGGAGCCGGGTTGCCCAGATCTCACATCTACGTGCAAAGAGCATGCAAGCCCAGGCAGGCTGCAGGTCTGAGCCTGAGCCACATTAGGGATCGTCACCGTGGTTACAATATCTTTAGGGGGTGAGTAATGTACACACACACAGAGAGGGATGGTCACTGACATCCAGTGGGGCTACAGCCCCATAACGCCATCATGGCACAAAATATCCTAACTTAAAATGCATTCCCTAGCCGGGTGCGGGGACTCACGCCTGTCATCCCAGCACTTTGGGAGGCTGAGGCGGGCGGATCACTTGAGGTCAAGAGTTCGAGACCAGCCTGACCAGCATAGAGAAACCTCATCTCTACTACAAATACAAAATTACACCATGGCACATGGATACCTATGTCACAAACCTGCACGTTCAGCACAGGTATCCCACAACGTAAAGCAAAATGAAATAAAATAATACAATATCAGGTTACTATCTTGATCAACTCATCTTAAAGTTCAAAATTTTTAAATCCAACTATCGTAACCAGGAAATCATCTGTATATATGTATGTATACACACGCTTTCATTATTAAAATATTGCAATTGGCCGGGCGCCATGGTTCACGCCTGTAATCCCAGCACTTTGGGAGGCCGAGGTGGGCAGATCACCTGAGGTTGGGAGTTTGAGACCAGCCTGACCAACATAGAGAAACCCCATCTCTACTAAAAAAGCAAAATCAGCCGGGTGCTGTGGCTCACGCCTGTAATCCCAGCACTTTGGGAGGCCGAGGTGGGCGGATCACCTGAGGTTGGGAGTTCAAGACCAGCCTGACCAACATAGAGAAACCCCGGCAAAAATACAAAATCAGCCGGGCGTGGTGGTGCATGTCTGTAATCCCAGCCACTCAGGAGGCTGACGCAGGAGAGTCACTTGAACCCGGGAGGTGGAGGTTGTAGTGACCTGAGATGGGGCCATTGCACTGCAGCCTACGCTACAAGAGCGAAACTCCATCAAAAAAAACAACAAAAGCATTTACTCTCTTGATAAACTGATCATAAAGTTGAAAATAGGCCTACAAAAGTGTAGCTTATGAAGACTTGTTATATAGACTCAAGTCTTATCTGGTGCTAAGAATTGTGTCCAGGCCGGGCGCAGCGCCTCACACCCATAATCCCAGCACTTTGGGAGACTGAGGTGCGTGGATCACCTGAGGTCAGGAGTTCGAGACCAGCCTGGCAGACATGATGAGAAAGCCGATCTCCACTAAAAATACCAAATTAGTTCGGCAAGGTGGCACGTTGCTGTAATCCCAGTTACTTGAGAGGCTGAGGCAAAAGCATTGCCTGAACCCAGGAGGTGGAGGTTACGGTGAGCCGAGATCACGCCACTGCACTCCAGCCTGGGGGTCAGAGTGAGACTCCATCTCAAAAAAAATCAATAATTTTAAAAAGATGAGTAAAAATAAAAATGTCTGTTTTCCATAGCGGTGCAGTCTCATTTGACTGCGTCTCAAAAACAAATAAATTAAAATTAAAATAAAAAAAATGCCTCCGTCCCCAGCCCCACATGGCATGCGTTTGTAGAACTCTGGTTCCCAAGAGGCTGAGCACTCACGTTTTATTTCTGCCCCTTCTGCAAGGTTCTCTTCGCCGCCTGTGAGCTGGGAGTGTTTGACCTTCTCTCGGAGGCCCCAGGGCCCCTGGCCGTGGCTGCCGTGGCTGCAGGTGTGGGAGCCAGCTACCACGCGATGGAGCGCCTGCTGGATGCCTGTGTGTCCCTGAAGTTGCTCACAGTGGAGACCAGGGGAGGACAAGGTGAGGACGTGGGCGTTTTGAAGGAGGCCTGCAAGTGGGCACCCTCGGCGTCCCACGTGTTCTGTAAAAAGTGAGACAAGCCCGGGAGCGGTGGCTCGGGCCTCTGATCCCAACACTTTGGGAGTTCGTGGCGGGTGGATCACCCGGGGTCGGGAGTTCGAGACCAGCCTGGCCAACACTGTGAAATCCCATCACTAATGAAAAAAATACAAAAATTGGCCGGGCATGGTGGTGGGCGCCTGTAATCCCAGCTACTCAGGAGGCTGAGACAGAGAATGGCTTGAACCCGGGAGGCGGAGGTTGCAGTGAGCCGAGATCGCACCACAGCACTCCAGCCTGGGCGACAGAGCGAGACTCCATCTCAAGAAAAAAAAATACAAACATTCCCTAGGAGTCATGGTACACGCCTGTGGTTCCAGCTATTCTCGAGGTGGACGCAGGAGGATTGCTTGAGCCCAGGAGTTCAAGACCAGCCAGGGCAATGTAGCAAGATCCCATCTCTACAAAAATTACAGAATTAGCCAGGCATGGTGGCATGAGCCTGTGGTCCTAACTACCTCAGCTAAAGGCTGAGGCAGGAGGATTGCCTGGGCCCAGGGGTTCGAGGCTTCAGTGAGCTGTGACCACACCACGACACTCCAGCCTCGGCAACAGAGGAAGACCCTGCGTCTAAAGAAAAATCAAGAACAAAAAACCGCCAGAGACGTGATGTGAATGATGGGGTTGGCTCTATTTCTTTTTTATTTTTATTTTTTTGCGAGACAAGTTTCAGTGTTGTTGCCCAGGCTGGAGTGCAGTGGCACAATCTCGGCTCACTCCAACCTCTGCGATTTTACTGCCCCAGAATCGAAAGTAGCTGGGATTACAGGCATGCGTCACCACGCCTGGCTAATTTTTTTGTGTTTAGTAGAGAAGGGGTTTCACCATATTGGCCAGGCTGGTCTCGAACTCCTGACCTCAAGTGATCTGTCCGCCTCGCCCTCCCAAAGGGATGAGATTACAGGTGTGAGCCACCGTGCCTGGGGTCATTAAGTTATTTTAAACATTCTGTGGAGTATAATGTATGTTTTCTCTCATGGCTCATCTGCGTTTGTGCTTCCTCCACCCAAACTCGCAATGGGATTTGTAGAAGCTGAAACCACTGGGGGTACCAGCCTCCCGGGGTCCCCTTTGTGCCTTCCATGGAAGCCCCCGGCTGTAGGTAGGGGTGTCGGTGCTCCCAGGCAGGGATTGCGTGAAGTCACTGTGCTGCCGTGCTGGGGAGCGTCTGCGCAGCAGGGACTTGGAATCTCACTGCTTTTTCTCTGTTTTCTTTGTGTGTGTCAGCTTTCTATGGAAACACGGAGATGTCCAGAGTCTACCTGAGCAGGGTCAGCCCGACCTCACAGTGCAGCATGCTGCTGTACATGGCCAGGACCACTTACCACTGCTGGGGCCGCCTGGCACAGGCTGTGAGGTAGGGATCGTGTCTTGTCCAGGCAGTGACCGAGTCTCAGGACTCCCACTGTGGGGTTCATGAAGGGGCTCACTGCAACCTCCACCTCCTGGGTTCCAGAGAATGGCTCACGCCTGTAATCCCAGCACTTTGGGAGGCCGAGGTGGGTGGATCACCTGAGGCCGGGAGTTTGAGACCAGTGTGACTAACATGGAGAAACCCCGTCTCTAGTAAAAATACAAAAATTAGCCAGGTGTGGTGGTGCATGCCTGTCATCCCAGCTACTTCGGAGGCTGAGGCAGGAGAATCGCTTGAACCCGGGAGGGGGAAGTTGCAGAGAGCCGAATCACGCCATTGCAGTCCAGCCTGTACAAAAAGAGTGAAACTCTGACTCAAAAAAAAAAAAAGAGATTCTCTCGTCTCGGCCTCCTGAGTAGCTGGGATTCCAGGCACCCGCCATACCCAGCTTAGTTTTGTATTTTTACTAAAGAGGGGTTTTGCCATGTTGGCCAGGATGGTCTCGAACTCCCGACCTCAAGTGATCTGCCTGCCCCGGCTCCCACAGTGCCGGCATTGCAGGTGAGCGCCTGGAGGAGGTAAAAGGGCAGGTTTCTTGCAGGAGCAAAGATGACCTTGGTAGGATTGCTTGCCCAGAGCAGACCGTAGAAATCGCTTGGTGTTGGCTGACAGAGGTCACCCACTTCTGCAGGGATGTGACCCCAGGCGAACATCATTCATGCTGCTTTGGCAGAAGACGAAGGGAAGAGAAGGAAGAGGATTCAGAACAGGGATTGAGGATTGCGGATTCGGAACAGGGGTGCAAAACAACAACCTACTGGCTTGAATTGTACCAGGCTGGGGCACATGTAGTTGAGTTTTTTACGCCACTGTAATCCCAGCACTTTGGGAGGCCGAGGCGGGTGGATTACCAGAGGTCAGGAGCTTGAGACCAGCCTGGCCAACATGGTGAAACACCGTCTGTACCAAAAATACAAAAATTAGCCTGGCACGGTGGTGGGCACCTATAATCCCAACTACTTGGGAAGCTGAGGCAGGAGCATCACTTGAATTCGGGAGGTGGACGTTGAAGTGGGCCAAGATCTCGCCACTGCACTCCAGCCTGGGCGACAGAATGAGACTCTGTCTCAAAAACAAACAGTGTAATTTCTTTTTTTTTTTTTTTTGCCATTAAAAGTAATGGTAGGCCTGGTGCAGTGGCTCACACTTGATATCCCGGGACTTTGGGAGGCCGAGGCGGGTGGATAGCCTGAGGTCAGGAGTTCAAGACCAGCCTGGCTACCATGGTGAAACCGGGTGTCGACTAAAAATACAAAAATTAGCGGGGCGTGGTGGCGGGCGCCTGTCATCCCAGCTACTCGGGAGGCTGAGGCAGGAGAATCGCTTGAATCCGGGAGGCGGAGGTTGCCGTGAGCTGAGATCACACCACAGCACTCCAGCCTGGGCGACAGAGCGAGACTCTGTCTCTCAGGTAAAATAAAATAAAACCCATCTATTGAGGTGTTATGGTTTATAAGGGGTGACTGCACAGGCCCCTTAGATAGGAATTTTGGCAAGGAAGAAAAAGATCAGACTTCGTCTTTACGTTGAAACAGCCAACACCCTTTTCTCTCTTTTCTTAGAGAAGGCAAGAACCAATATCTGCAGACCTTCGGAGTTCCCGCAGAAGACCTTTTCACCGCCATCTACAGGTAACGTCCGTCACTTCAAAACCAACAACTCAGAGGAGATCGTGTTTATTTGGCCGGGCGCGGGGTCTCACGCCTGCAACCACAGTACTTTGGGAGGCCGAGGCGGGCGGATCACGTGGTCAGGAGTTCAAGACCAGCCTGGCCAACATGCTGAAACCCCATCTCTACTAAAAATACAAAAATTAGCCAGGCGTGGTGGCGGGCGCCTGAAATCCCAGCTACTCGGGAGGCTGAGGCGGGAGAACCACTTAAAGGTGGGAGTCTGAGGTTGCAGTGAGTTGAGCCTGTGCCACTGCACTCCAGCCTGGAGACTTAGCAAGACTCCGTCTTAAAAAAAAAAAAATAATAAAAAAATAAAGACCGGGAGTGATGGCTCATGCCTGTAATCCCAGCACTTTGAGAGGCCGAGGTAGGCGGACCACAAGGTCAGGAGTCCCAGGAGCTCTGGGGAGGGGAAGGAGGAGAGGCTCCCAACACCACAGCTCTGTCCGCCTCTGTGTCCACCCGTCCTTCCTGGTTCCAGCTCACCTCCCTTTGTTCCTAGTTCCTGCGTTTTCTCTCTGTCTCTCTCTTTTTTTTTCCCTTTAGACGGAGTCTTGCTCTGTCGCCCAGGCTGGAGTGCAATGGTGCGATCTCAGCTCACTGCAACCTCTGCCTCCTGGGTTCAACCGATTCTCCTGCCTCAGCCACCCAAGTAGCTGGGACAACAGGTGCACACCACCACATCCAGCTAATTTTTTTATTTTTATATTTAGTAGAGACGGGATTTCACCATGTTGGCCAGGCTGGTCTCGAACTCCTGACCTCAGGTGATCTGCCCGCCTCAGCCTCCCAAAGTGCTGGGATGACGGGCGTGAGCCACGGCGCCTGGCCATTCTGCCTTTTCTCTAGCCGCCTCTCCCTGACCTGAATTCCCACTTTCCGGGACCCTTGCCCCAGGATGTGCAAACTCCGTCACTTCCCGGATTTGTCCTCTGGAGCTGAGCTCTGTGGGTGGGTCGCTGGGGGGACATATTATTGACTTTCTTCTTAAATGTTGGAAATAGATGCTCAGTGCCACACACACACACACACAAATCAGCATTGAGGGAGAAGACATCTCAGCAACGCAGATTTTACCTCCAGGGCTGCAGGAAGGGGACCCTCACTGGCCATCGAGCCACGAGAGCACAATGAACAAAGGAAAACACACACATGTATCCCTGACGTGTGTGGGGTCGTCCTTCCTGCCGTGTCTGAGCTCCGTGGGCTGGAGCCAGACCTCACCATCTGAACTAAAACCCGACGGGCTGACAACTTAAAACTTTTCTGAACAGGTGACAGCCACGGAGAGCTGGGACACGCCTGTGAGCACGTCCAGCACGGGTATCTCGGTGAAAGTACAAGGACATAGAATGTCCTACGTGCCTGTGAGCATGGCGTGTCTAACAGCTACATAGGATAGGGCTTCACAGAGAGTTATGAGCACACTTATTCTTGGCTCACTGCAACCTCCGACTCTCTGGTTCAAACGATTCTCCTGCCTCAGCCTCTCCAAAGTAGCTGGGATGACAGGCATGCGCCACCATGCCCAGCTCATTTTTGTATTTTTAGTAGACATGGGGTTTCACCATGTTGGCCAGGATGGTCTTGATCTCCTGACCTTGTGATCCACCCGCCTCGGCCTCCCAAAGTGCTGGGATTACAGGTGTGAGCCGCCGCGCCCGGCCGGCACACTGACTCCTTAACAAGAAAGGAAACGTTAAAAAGAAACTTTTCTACTTCCCACAGTAAACATCCTAACTCCTCTTCGGATAGAAATCCCTACCCATGGTGGCTTCCAGAGAACTATGGTCCGTTCTGACTCGACTCCAGCTTCTCCCGGAGCTGGGTACATTTTGGTGGCTGACCTAGGCTTATCCCGTCCCCAGTTGCTTCCCGCTCTGTGCCACATGCAAGGCTGCCAGGCGCACCTCTGTGCCACATGCAAGGCTGCCAGGCGCACCTCTGTGCCACATGCAAGGCTGCCAGGCGCACCTCTGTCGCACAGCTATGCAAGGCTGCCAGGCGCACTTCTGTGCCACATGCAAGGCTGCCAGGCGCACCTATGTGCCACTTGCAAGGCTGCCAGGCGCACGTCTGTGCCACGGCTATGCAAGGCTGCCAGGCGCACCCCCGTGCCACATGCAAGGCTGCCAGGTGCACCCCTGTGCCACATGCAAGGCTGCCAGCCGCACCCGTGTGCCACATGCAAGGCTGCCAGGCGCACCTCTGTGCCACATGCAAGGTTGCCAGCTGCACCCCTGTGCCACATGCAAAGCTGCCAGGCGCACCTCGGTGGCACATGCAAGCCTGCCAGCCGCACCCCTGTGCCACGTCTATGCAAGGCTGCCAGGCGCACCCCTGTGCCACGTCTATGCAAGGCTGCCAGGCGCACCTCTGTGGCACGGCTATGCAAGACTGCCGGATGCACCTGCGTGGCACACAGCTCTGTTCTTGGCAGGGGGTTCTACACATCTCTGCTCTGGACGCTTGCCCGAATCCTCGCCTTCTTTTACAAGCCTGCTTTGCACAGCAGGTCGGAGGGCGAGCGTGTGCAGTTCATGCAAGCCCTGCGGGAGGTCTGGAGCGTGAACGGGAGAAGCGTGCTGACCGCATTCGACCTGTCCCTGTTCCCGCTCGTGTGCGACCTCGGCGGTACGTAACCTCCGCGCAGAGAACCTCAGAGCTGCGTGTGTTGTTCTGTATGGGGAGTGTGTTCACCGTGTCATTTATTTTCTGCATTCTTTTCTTTTTTTCTGAGAATAGGCTTTGCTTGGTTTCATTCAATAGACGTTTTCTTTTTTATTTTTTTATTTTCTTTTTTTTTCCCCCATTTATTTTATTGCATTTTAGGTTTTGGGGTACATGTGAAGAACATGCAAGATTGTTGCATAGGTACACACGTGGCAGTGTGATTTGCTGCCTTCCTCCCCATCACCTACATCTGGCATTTCTCCCCTTGCTATCTCTCCCCAGCTCCCCACCCCCCACTGTTCCTCCCCTATTTCCCCCCAACTGACCCCAGTGTGTAGTGCTCCCCTCCGTGTCCATGTGTTCTCATTGTTCAACACCCGCCTATGAGTGAGAACATGCGGTGTTTGATCTTCTGCTCTTCTGTCAGTTTGCTGAGAATGATGGTTTCCAGGCTCATCCCTGTCCCTACAAAGGACACGAACTCATCCTTTTTGATGGCTGCATAATATTCCATGGTGTCTATGTGCCACATGTTCCCTATCAGAAGTTTTCTTATAAAAAATTCAAAGTACGCTGTATTTTCAGACCTTCCAACAGATGAGAGGATCTTCATCCTTTCACAGAGGCAAGGAAAAGCCTTTTGGGATTCAATTATTTTACTGATTTAGGATATTGCTAAATCAAACATTAATTTTGACTCTGTAACTGTATAATTCTTGTCGAAATTTCTCCTTAACTGGGAAAAGGAGCAAATCAACTATGTTTTCCTTTATTGACAAAAACAAAAAAATACCTGGAACAATATGATGATTTGAAGATTATCCTGAATTTTTTTGAGACCGAGTTTTACTCTTGTTGCGCAGGCTGGAGTGCAGTGGCGCGATCCTGGCTCGCTGCCACCTCCGTCTCCTGGGTTCAAGTAATTCCCCTTCCTCAGACTCCAGAGTAGCTGGGATTACAGGCATGCACCACTAAACCTGGCTGGTTTTTATTTTTTTTTATTTTTAGTAGAGATGAAGTTTCGCCGTGTTGGCCAGGCTGGTCTCAAACTCCTGACGTCAAGTGACCTGCCCGCCTCGGCCTTCTTTTTGTTTTTCTGAAACAGGGTCCTGTTTTGTCACCCAGGCTGGAGTGCAGTGGTGTGATGATACCTCACTGCCGCCTTAGACTCCCAGGCTGGGCGCCCTCCACCCCACTTCCCTCCCCTATCTTCCCCTCCCCCGCCTTTCCATCCCTTCCCTTCCCCTTCCCTCCCCTCCCCTCCCTTTCCATCCCCTCCCTTCCCTTCCCCTCACCTCCCCTCCCTTTCCATGGCCTCCCCTCCACTCCCTTCCCCTCCCTTTCCATCCCCTCCCCTCCCCTCCCCTCCCCTCCCTTTCCATTCC